TCCCTTCCGATCCAAAAATATTCAATTCCCCAACCCCTTTTCCAGCCAAAAAGGCGAAAACACCAAACCCTTTGGGGCCGTAGATACCTGAAAAGCCCATAAAAGGGAGTTCCCCCCCCCCCCAGGGCCAAAAACGCGTTGTAGATTATGGGTCTCACTGCTTACGCATGCGAGAGTAATAAAGAACAATCAGGTCCTTTGTCACTTGACAGTAAAACCCAAGGTAAATGTCAGTTGTCGGTTAAATTTTAGGCAATCACGTGTTCCCAAAGACCACTTAACAAGAAGTTTGGGCAACAAGTTTATTGAGTCCGATACGACAACAAGTACAATGAGTAGCGAATGACGTCGAAACTGAATCAATAGACTCTCTCGGGAGGGAAGACTGGGTATTGTGCTTGCCCTCCGAATTGAGCTTATGACGGACTGATTCATGAGCGAGCCTTCAGATAAACCTTTCATGACGTCACTTATGTTGACGCGTAATTAGTTAATCAAAATCAATTAATGTAATTATTGAAGGAACTTTTTTTGTCAGTTAATATCTTGGCTATTCGTTAGTTGTTAGTTAACCCCATTCAGACCTCCTGAAAACAGATTCACCCTGAAGTCATGCTGAAGGGCATTTTTTTAGTTCTACAGTTTGCACTGGGGTGCCGTCAAGCAACTCTGCCAAGTTTTGTGGAACAAGATGCAACTACTGCGGAGAAAGCAATTATAAGACTGCTTCTGAGAATTTTTGCGCTTGAAACGTGTTTCTTTTCCAAAGCTAACTGAGGAGGGTGGCGTTCAATGCGGGGTGTGGGAAACGAGTGTAGAACAGCGAGTGAAGCTTAAGGATAATGGGTAGGCCTCCGAACTTAAAAATTTCTGAATATGAGATTGCGAGCGGCTGGTGACGAGGCAGACGCAGAGTGATTATAAAACTTTGTAAATAGACAAAAAGTCGACACGGAGATAAAGAGGTTCCCCAATGGGTTTTTCGGGATCCGTGCGGTTTCGCTGCGTTGCGTTATGTTTTTCTAAAATTTCCGAGAGTGAATCTATTTCTGTAGGGGCATGAACTTGTTAATTCGTTTCTTTTGTTCAGAGTACATAAGTGTTTTTTTACAAATGATAAAAGCTTTTTCTTGGAGGCAAAGATTACAATTTTTGTTAGCCTTGTCATATGGTTTACAATTACTGAGTACTTTCCCCTGCACGTGAAAGGATCTGTTGGCATCTTTGAGGGTCCACACCTGTTTGGACAGTTCCCTCTCGTTTCTTCTGTTCGCGTGTCGGAAGGATGTCAAGAGATTTCCGTACTGCTCTTTGAAGTCAGTGGCTACTGAGTCCAATGTATGATTCTGTTGTTGTCCCAGTCGTTACAGTCGCTTGGTAAATCAGGTTTTGTCTGAGGCAATTACCGTCAAGAAACCGGAATGCCCTCTTGAAGGTAATTGCCTGCAACCGACTAACTTCAAAAAACGGTGCAGAAATCACTTGACATCATTAAAATTGTGACTCGTTGAAATACTGCTAGGGACCACTACTGACTTACTGCCCGGCGTCAGATAAAGGCTTTTAATCGGCTTTTAATGATTTTTCATTGTTTTGAATTGCCAAGTAGTAGAGTGAGTTGATTTTTTTGCTAAACCAATTTAAAAAATCCAGGTAAAACTATATATTATAATATATTCAGTGTATATTATGTATATATACTTTCCCCATATACAGCAACTTGTACATAGCACCTCTATCTGTTTTTCGATTAGTTTGCAGCTTGTTGACTGTTGTTCTTCTTCTCTTTAATAAAGTACACTGAATTACGTTGTAAGCAATCCAAAATTCGAGGTAAAACTTTCTCAGTTTGCCGGACAGCTACCAATGGCTAAGATAAGATTGATGATGATTGATTGATGTCATGGAAGCCTGTAGGGGCGAATTTGAAAGTGAGAGGGGACAAAAGTTAGCAGTGCTGGTGGCGTACTCAACTGTTATATGAACCCAAGGCCCATTTTTGTTAAAGTGGGGGTTTCGTTCCCCTAGGGCCGTTATGATGATCCATCCTTTAAGCACTGTATATGAGTCTTCTTTAGCTCTTAGCTGAGAAAGTACTTCGCTTTTGCTACTAATTCCTGCAATAATTCGACCTCGCAACAGACTGGATAAAACAATTGATACGATGGCAAATAATAGCAGTAGGTAACAGTTAGTCATCTGAGCAATCCACCGAGTGGGACTGATGACAGCCCCTTCTCCTCCACTAATATAACGTTACCATGTGGGTATTCTTGGTTTGCAACCACGTGACAAGGCGGCAATGTTGGGGGTAGGTACAATAGAATTGTTTTCTCGAAGAATTTACATGAAAATAGAGGTTACTTCCCAGAGAAGAGAAATGCTTTTGTTCTTGACGACCAAGATGGCCGCTCTGACGTCACCTGCAAACAAGCAATATAAGGGTTCACTTTTCATTATATCTAAAAACATACAGGAACATAAGCCTTCTATGCTCGCAAATTGTTAATATGTATTTATTGGCCATAAAATTTAAATTACATCATGTACTGGCCTTCATTATCCCACAATAAACATTGTTCGATTTTGAAAAAGCATTCGGAAAAGTAATATTTTTGCGCCCAGATTAGTTTTACCAAACTGAACTTATGACGTTTGTAAAACTTGATTATACTATGAACATAGTGGCTTTTATGGTTATCATCAGGTGTCATTTATGCAGTGTATTTTCAAGATAAGTTCGTCATGTACCTCTCCAGTAAATTCGGCAGAACAGTAAAGCTCTCTGATTGTCTTCTGGCTTCTGGCAAATTACATCCGCTACTATACTGCAAATTAAGACTATTATCACAAATTATTTACAAAAGCTTCCACTGTTCTCAGTTAAGCTTAAGGCAATCGAAAACTACTTTAAAACTTGTGTAGGAAGAAAAAGATGACTTTTCGCCGCGCCATAAGGTATCTGAAAAAACTCTCCATGTTGCCTCTATATAGATATCAATACATACATAAATATGATCATACAGATCGGGCTCGAAAGTCTTCTTTAGCTCTTAGCTGAGAAAGTACTTCGCTTTTGCTACTAATTCCTGCAATAATTCGACCTCGCAACAGACTGGATAAAACAATTGATACGATGGCAAATAATAGCAGTAGGTAACAGTTAGTCATCTGAGCAATCCCCCGAGGGGAACTGATGACAGCCCCTTCTCCTCCACTAATATCACGTTACCATGTGGGTATTCTTGGTTTGCAACCACGTGACAAGGCGGCAATGTTGGGGGTAGGTACAATAGAATTGTTTTCTCGAAGAATTTACATGAAAATAGAGGTTACTTCCCAGAGAAGAGAAATGCTTTTGTTCTTGACGACCAAGATGGCCGCTCTGACGTCACCTGCAAACAAGCAATATAAGGGTTCACTTTTCATTATATCTAAAAACATACAGGAACATAAGCCTTCTATGCTCGCAAATTGTTAATATATATTTATTGGCCATAAAATTTAAATTACATCATGTACTGGCCTTCATTATCCCACAATAAACATTGTTCGATTTTGAAAAAGCATTCGGAAAAGTAATATTTTTGCGCCCAGATTAGTTTTACCAAACTGAACTTATGACGTTTGTAAAACTTGATTATACTATGAACATAGATTTTGTTTGTGTCTTTACAATCTGCAATGAAACAGAAAACAATATTAAAGGTGCAATTCGGACTAGGACATTTGTCTGGCTTTCTTATATATATTTTCTTATCAAGTTCGTCAGTAAATGTTCTTAGTCTAAGTCTTAGTTCAGATACAGAAGTGTAGTTGTTGTAATGTTTCTTTTACAGCTTGTCTCACTTCTGTGATCTTCCAGCAGTACAGAAACGGGTTTAACGACGAGTTTAAAAGCACTAAAGTACCTGTAAATTGCAAAGCAAGGTAAGTAGATAAAGGCATCCCCCTTTGAGGTGTTAAAGCTGCAGTTATACCGTACGGCAGATAACAAATAACCAATGTTACCTGCACCCACAGTGCACTGTATACTGCCTTTCTGTATCGAGCTTTATTCAGTGTATTTGCTTGGCTCGATTGCCCTTGAACAACATGGTTCTGACCATGAATTTGGTTATGACGCAGAGACATGAAAATTTTTGTGTAGGCACAGATTGTAGTGACTAAACAAAAAGCTATAACAATATATTGGTACAAAGAAAATATAAGAAGACTCAGAAAGGATGCAGATGCACCGACAACGGACACAATCCAACCACCAATAGCGATTAAACGTGTTCTTTGCAAAGTTACAACTTGTCTGTATCTGAGACCCAGTAACAAAGCAAGAAGTCTGTCCACGCTTATTGTGGTCATTGTTATCAACGACACTGAACACAAAGTAACACCTAGGAAATATGTTATCAAATCTGCGTAATGGCAAATATACCATCTTTCGTTCACCACGGATGTCCAATATGCAACGCTTAGAGGCTCCGCAACGATACCAACACAAAGATCAGTTATCGCTAGGTTACGATACAGGAGTTTGGATGACGGATGAATTGATGTGTCCTTGTGAAGGGCAACTAGGATCAGAGTATTCCCCAAAAATGCTGTAATTGACAAAAAAGTGTTAATGACAGAGAGAAAAACGAGCTCGCCATGTACCTCTCCAGTAAATTCCTCAGAGCATTCAAGTTCTGCAATTGTTTGCAGGTTTTCACCTCCAGTCAAATTTTTCATTTCCATGACTTTTCTGCGATGCGGCTACAGTCAACTGAACTCTTTTTTAATATATCTGTCTTCCTTATATGACTGCTACGTGCACCCTGTCAGCAAACAATTAAATATTTGCTCTGTATTTTCAGTTTATTAAACGATGGAATTCGACAATCTTGGTGTTGCCCTTGTGTTGCCGTACGATTAGCAAGCAAATAGTACAATTGCCTGGCTCTTAGAAAACGAGTTAAACTGTTAGTAATAAAAAGTCTATTAACCAAGTCTTGATCGATATTTCTTTTAAGCATATATTCAAATTGAGTAAAAAACGGTTTTCGTCAATTGCTAGAAGTTAAACTGATGCGCTCATAATGTCATCGCAGGCAGTGAGGTCTCAGTAACAATGTATAAATGTTCAAATAATGGGCTCGAAAGTCTGGGCCATTTACGAGGTGGGAATTAAAGAAAATAAAATGTTCGTTTGAGCTTAGGAAATTAGAAAGTAACCTGTTTTTATCATATAAAAATCATGAAAAAAAAAATTGAACTCAACGATTAGCTGAGAGCAATCAGCAGTTTTAGTAAACATAGTGAGAGCAAGAACGAGAAAATTTCGCTAACGGAGGTGTTAAGTTTGTGAGCCGAACATATGATATGCGGTGCCGTAAACAGCCGCTTAAAAGCCCTGGGATTATAAATCTTTGAAAGGGATTTTACAAGGGCTCTTGATAAAGTAAACGGAGGGGCTTATATCCAAGGGGGATTTTAACGGAATTGGAAAAAGCTGTTCGAAACAAACTAACGCAGTGCTGATTTAAATATGTTTTGCAGTTACTGGTAAAAGCTTCAAAATATCATAATAAATCAAATTCATTTCAATGCAAGTTAGAGGGGAGCTTATATTGGCGAGCCTGCTACTCGTGGGGCTTATATCAAAGTGTTTCTTTATTTTGTAGCTTCAAATTGCTTGTGCCGGTTTTCTATAATCAGGTTTGACTGACGTTCACATGGATACCAGCACTAAATTGGCCACATTTTCTTTAGAAGAGGAAGTCTTAACCGAGTATATCCCCAGACATGTCAAACTTTGTTTGCTATAACTTTAACATTTTGGGCGGTTTATTTGCAACTGCTTAAATTGCTATTTCACCACGTCAAGATTATATCTTCATTTAAATTGCTTTTTAAATTCATTTCCCCCGTTTACATCAACTCCCGGCGCGTCCAATTCGGATCTGTTATATGAAAGGTAAAATATTTAAAATTAAAACGCCATGAACCTCTCCTCGACTCTCCAGTGAATTTTGCGGAACAATACAGGTGTCTAATAAATTGCTTGGTAGTTTGTCATTACGATGACTTTTCTCCGAAGCAACTACGTTCAAGCGAACTGTAAGATCCAAGTGTAACATTTTTTCTATTATTCGTTCTTGCGTAATTTGTTTTTCCTTTGCGTACGCAAATAAGTTTATACTTCTTTTCGTCCTTTTGTTTAGTCTTTTTTTTTAGCGTTAATTTAGGTATTTATTCCTTTCTGTCAGTTTTCGCGCCCTCGTTAGCGTTTCTTTGCTGTTTCATCTTCATTAGCGCCTTTCTAAGTTTCTATAGTTTTATTTTCCGCATGTTCTAGCGTATTTTCCATATCGTAGTTTTGCAGTACAGTTTGTGCAGTTCATTTTGGTCCGCGCTTAGCGCAGTTCTGTTTAGTTTCTTGCAAGTCTCTTCGCGTTATTCGCAGTCCGCTTCACAGCAGTTTTCTCTGGCCGAAACAATGTAAGTTTACTTCACAGTCCTCGTTTTGCAGTTTTGCTATTTCCTTACTCTAATTTACCTTAGTCTTGTAACTTTTTTGCTCTTTTACCGTTTTAGTTTCAATCCATGCTGTTTGTATGCACACTCATTTTACCACGCATTTTATTTCAAGTACCAAGCACGTCGGCTACAATAAATCTTCATTCGAATTTGGTTTGTGGTGTTGTTATTAAAGGCCAAGAGACTTTTACGCTTATTGCAGTTTCACGAACCTTTTTTTAATATATCTGTTTTCCTTATATGATAGCTTCAACATGTCACAAACCAATTAGATATGTGAGCTGTATTTTCATTTTATTAAACGGATTTCTGACTGATTTCTGAGTTATTGGCAATCTTGTTGCTGCCGTGCAATTGGCAAAACAAATAGCACAATTGTCTGGTTTTTAGAAAACGAGCTAAACTGTCATGATCAGTGATACAAAGTTTATTAACGAGGGGGGTGAATAGGGGTGTGCAAATCCGCCGATCCGTGGTATTTTTAGGCCCAATCCGTCGATCCGACTTAATTTTTGTTCAAATCCGAATCCGTGTTACTTTAAAAATTTTTCGTGGTATATAGAAAGTAGCGTTGTAGCATGAAAAAATGAATTACTTAATATAGTTGTTCTAGATCTGTAATCGCAACAGATGCGGGACTTCATGTTTAAAATGGTTTCGTTACAGCTTCAAAACATTAAGCATTAGGGACAGAGCTTATAATGTTTCTTCCAACAATACAGATTTGACCAATCAAATGGTCTGCAAGCTTGCAAAATGAAAGTATCTGGTAGTGCGTAAAAGATTTTTCAATAATTTACTTACTGACATCCGCCGCTTTGGACATGCTTCTAGTCGAGCCGCAAAATTCGGAAGAGGCAGAACTCAACTTCATGGTAATTTGCTTACCAGTAAGTACTTTCCATGGTTCATCTTGGAAGTCTTGAAACCATAATTTTTTTCACATAAACATGTTTCCACTTGGCAACAGACGGGTAAAAGGGTTAGCAACGGCAAACTGCATTTGTTTTCCGATGCAGATACAGAGTTTCATTTACTCGTAGTTTGTTTGGTACTCAATGATCGTCAATCCTAGCATTAAATATAAGGAGCAAAATCCAGTTTATCATTTCACCGATCAATTTGTAAGTTTGATTTTTTTATAGTTCATGAGTCGCTGTCAATCCTAGCATTAAATGTGAGGGCCCAAAAATCCAGTATAACAGTCCAGCAAATGTGATGACGGAAAATAACTCTCATCTTACAAAATGAATGTGGAAGGCGCTGTGGGCTAATGGTTAGTGCGCTGGACTCTGGATCGGACCGTCCGAGTTCGAGTCCTGGCCGGGGCACTGCGTTGTGTTCTTGGGCAAGACCTGAACCATGTGTCACCATGCAGGAACCATGCACAAGGTTGCCTGACGTCATTTCCGTCACGCTAATCCTGCCGCGTCAACCGCGGCAGGATTAGCTCAGTCGGTAGAGCGTTTGACTGCAGAGCGGGAGGTCGCCGGTTCGATTCTCGGGGCCGGACCAATACTCAGGGTCTTAAAATAACTGAGAAATGAAGGTACTTCCTTTGCCCTGCAGGCGGCTGGACCTTCGCGTGGCTCGGATGACCACGTAAGATGCCGGTCCCGTCTCCATTAGGAGACGTAAAATACAGTGTCCCAATTAGCACTTTCGTGCTTAATACATTGACACTCAATTAAAGCGCATTTTTTTTATAAAGTGCTGTCTATACTAGAATAAATGTACATGCGTTGGGTCACGAGAAAGTCTCTTCCGGAAACCTCGAAAGTGGAATGTTAGCCGAGAAAACACCAACACATTGACCAAGGCCGACCGAAAATAGATGATCCGATCCACAATCCGAACTTCTAGACTGACAGAATCCGAAAACCGGGCCAAAACTTTCAGCTGAGCCGCGATCTACGGTATTTTTCAAATCCGCGAATCCGCTCGATTTATCGCCGAAATCCACAATCCGTGAGCTTTTTAAGGCCAAATCCGCCGATCCGCAGACCTATTCACCCCCCTCATTAACCGATTCTTGATCGATACATCTGTAGAACAAAGATTCAAAATGATTAAAAAAGGCTTTTTATTAATGTACTACTAATCGTCTCATCGCAGCCAGGAAGTCTTAACAGTTATACAAATGTTCAAAAAATAGGCTAAATTATGTCTGGGTCAGTTTGTACCATACTTACGAGATGAGAATTAAAGAGAAAAAAATGTTTTACGTTCGTTTTTGCTGCTACTATCTCTTTTTACATCCAGATTAAATTATTTCTTCTTAGTTGATTAACCATTTGTAAATAATACTTGTTTTTTGCTGCTTTTTGTCTGTTTTGTCCGTTTTGTTTTGCTTGCTTTTTATCCTAATTATATTTGAGTATGATTTTGCAGCTTATTTATTCATTATGTTTAGTCTTCGGTTGGGAAGCGAGCTCATATAATAAGCCCTAAGGTTTCCATTTGAGCTTCCTCGCCAGGAATTTTTTTTAAAAATTCTTTTACTTGCAATTTACGTCTCTTTAATCTTTAAATAACATTTTCGTAATATATTGAATGTCTCTATGCATATGTATTTTTTTTTCTGGCAAAAAAAATACATTGAAACTAAACTGAAACTGAAACAGTTTCAGAGCTTAGGGAATTATTTGAATGTAACCTGTTTTTCATCATAATAATAGACATTAAAAAAAAATTCTTAAATCTGAGGATTGGCTAAGAACAATACAGTTTTATTAAACATAGAGCAAAAACGAGGAAATATAATGCATAAACAAGGTAATAAAATGTAAATAACATATATCATAGAATTGAGCTTCCACTGATGAAAAGGCGCCCCCGAGCTTCACATCTAGGTAGATTTACTTTGTGGAATAACGGCCGCCGAGCTACACAACTCGGTTGATTTACTCTGTGGCACCACGGGCGCCTAGTTACACAACTCAGTAGATTTATTTTGTGGCACAACGGGCGCCGAGCTTCACAACTCTCCGGTAGATTTACTTCGTGGCAAAACGGACGCCGAGCTAAACAACCCGATTTGATGCATGCACCAGGATTCGCACGCATTTTCCAAAGAAAAATATGAAGGCTTAATCCAAAGTAAAATTTCACTCAGGGTGTAAAGTTTCAGCAAACTTGTGAAAGATGAACGCTTTGGAAGATTTATTAAACACAGATCGGTAGTAGACCTTCAGTACACTCTTAAATATGTAAGCTTTACGAAGATTCAGCACCGGCTTTTAAAAGATGAAGGCTTTAGGAAGACAGAATAGCCGACCTCAGCAAACGTTTGAAAGATGAACACACGAATCACCACGTGAGTTAGCGTGTCAAAGAGAGGCAAAACGTAAGCAAGCGCCTCAAAACGAGGCAAATATGTGTCGACACAAATGCAATCTCGAAAAAACCTCCCTTATTAATTGCACAGGACACCCAACAGAAATTAGAGGTTGCGTTCTCGTACCTCGAAAGCAATGATTGAACTTTAACCCACATAAGAACCTGCTTGATTTTGCTTGGCTAAACAAGTTCTTTTATGATTGGGTAAATTAAAGTGGACAATTTCTGCCAGCAGATTTTTAAACCACTAGGTTCTTACACGTGGGTGTTTTCTGTAACACATTTAATCAGTGTAAATTAAGCCAGTAACTGAGTCACGTGATATACCGCTAGCCTGAACGCAAAACTGAAATTCTACAGTGAAATAAATTCTGCTCGCGGCTTTCCCCGTTTTACTGGAGTATATGATATGATTGTGTATCGCAATGTTCGTTTGTATAAAAAATGATTCAACTAAACCCGTTGATTTCTTTTCGGGGAGGATTTTTTCGTAAAGCAAGTTTTGGTTTGGAATGAATTTATAACTAAAAAGCAGAGTAGACCATAGTAAACTAACCGCTCCATCGACGGACGAGTCGCCTTTTACAGCTAATTTCACTTCTCTGATCTTCCAGTAATAAATAAAGGGGTTCAGTGATGAGTTTATATATACTAAAGTACTTGTAAATTGCCAAGCAAGGTAAGAGGATAAATGCATCCCTCTTCGATGTATTAAAGCTGTTGCTATGATGATAAGTGCCCGGGGGGGACTCCGGATATGAAAGGGGTGGGGATGCTCGTCGGAAATTTTGAATTAAACCCCTAAAGGAGACCGATCTGGGCGGGGCCCAAGCTTTTTTGGACTCCTAAAAGAGACCATGCTAAAACACAGACAATATATAAATTTTTATACTTTTTCGCGTGCAACCCTAAGCGAGACTTTCACGGCTAAATATGATGGCGTTTTGCCCAGAACACCCTAAGTGAGACCAAAATCCGAAATTTACACCCCTAAGCTAGACGAAGAGCATTCCCACCCCTTTCATACGGGGAGTCCCCCCCCCCCCCCCCAGAGGAGATAAGTGGCAGATAACAATCGACGAATGCTGCCTGCACCCACAGTGCACCGTACACTGCCTTTCTGTATCGAGCTAAGTTCATTTGAATTGCTTGGCTTTCTCCTTGTAAGGGGTGGATCCAATGAATTTGGTTATGACGCAGACGGAAGAAAATTTTTGAGTAAGCGATGATTGGGGAGGGGGAGAGCTTATTTATTTCAAACATGTTTTGATGAGGGAGGGGTGCTTAATTAAGAGGTGGGCTTGTTTAATTTGGGGCTTTAGATATTGCCTTTTCAACTAACTAGAAGACGGTGTCGTCAGTGGTATGGTCTTGTATCAATTCTCCATGAATAACTAGAACGCAAAGTGGAAAACCTCAAGCATCTGTAGTTGGAGGTCATGCAGCCCTAGGTAAATAGCAACTTCCAGTTCGAGAATCTGGTTAATTAACCATACCGGATCAGTCGACATTAAGTGTTAAAGTAGTGATTAGTCATTACGAACAGTCAGTACTATGTATCATTATTTCATAAATTTTGTTAGGACCAATGAATAAGGGGCAGGGGGGGGGGGCGAATTAAAAGGGGGGCTAAGAGAAGGGGGCTTAATAGAAGATTTACCGGTTTATGGGTGTGTGCGATGACAGTATGTTACTATACTGTGCAAGAAAGATGAAGGAGACTATTTTTCCCAAAACTTTGTGTATATATTAAGGACAACAACAACTGGCCACATGGTAAGTTTCATCGATTTTTATTCCTATTTTCGAGCAAATTTCCAGACCTAAACTTCGCCCCATATGTTTTCTATATTTACTCATGTTATGAAACCCGTACGTGACACAAACAGTGAGCCTGGATTACCTGTGTAAAATGGCGCTTGTCGAAAACTTAAAATACATAGCCCACCTCCGAGTTCCAAAAACGCTCACTTTCAAAATGAGGCCAAGTGAGAGGAAAAATAACCTCGTTTTGATACAGAGGCCCTGGGAACTACAAAAAAAAATTAATCACCGGTCAGCGTTATTTCAAAAATGGCTGTTTGGGCCATGTAACTGACACAACACATGGCGAGAAGCCTCTGCTGTAGTCCACAAAAACGTCTTGTGAGGAATACAGTACTTCGTCTTCAAGTGACAATCAGGTCAGTTCCTTACGTTCAGTTTTGAAGGGTACGCAAAGACGGTTTTGTCCTATAAGAGAACTATTATTTTTTACAGTTACCGTATGTGGCAAGTTTTAACGCGCGTGCACTATCATCTTGGAGTTCATTGCATTGTGGCTGTGTGTGAATTAATTCCGGTCTTATAATTCAGCTGATAATTCGGCAATTCGACCAAATAGACCTTGTTTCATCCGCTAGTAATATGGCTTTTCCGTTCGTAAAAATGTAAATAGATGAAGATGTACGTTCATAAAGCTGTTAACTGTGTACGTGGTCCAGACGTAGTTAATCGATAAACCGATAATCGATATTAATCTATAGTAATCGGTATCAATCATCGATAAATATCGATTTCCGATATCGATCAAATAGAAATCGATAAAGAAAAGGGTTGTGACTTCGATTAATATCAATGATTTTCCGATAGAAATCAATGATGATTTTTTATCGCTTGTTATCAATTACTATCAATTCCCATCGATTGGTATTGATTTTATCAATCGATAATAATCGATAAATTAATTTTTCCGTGAATTCGATTTCTATCAATTCCGGATATCAGTTGATATTAACCGTTGAATTAAATCGATTGATATCGATTGATTTCCGATATCGATTTTTATCGATTAACTTCCTCTGGCATGGTCGAAGGTGTTAGCGTACAAACACGGGATCAATTCAATCAATAGCCCTTTTGCATTAGTTTCATACAAATCCTTGTAAATTTCGAAATTTTTGAACTGTCATAAAATATTTCCTGAAGCATCAAGAGGCTCAATTCTCCTTTTTATTCATAACAGGCAATTTGAGCCCTTAAATGCGTAAGGGAAAGATTTAACAACACTTTATGATAGAAATTTCAAAATTTACAATGATTTGTTTGGAAAACCTTGGTGGCAAGAGTTTTTCCCAAGAGGTGTTTTTCTTTCCTTCTAATTTCCGGCGACCGTTGCAATCGCTTCTTTTGAGATATACGGCTGAAATTTTACAGGTTATCTAATCTTAATTTTTCTCTTTTGTTTCGTACTAACAACATTTCACCGTACAAATAAACTATTTTTGTGTTTACAAAATGTTGATCACGTGACCAACTATTGCAAAAGGCGTATTCAATCAAACTTTATAGTAAATATTTCCTTGTTGATTAAGAATTTACTAGGCTGGGTTGCCCTCCAAAGACTTTCCTAAATATGATAATGTTGTAGGAAGGGAGGAAACAATATTGAAAAGAGGCAATAAGAGCCTCATACTATCTCAAATTCAATGAAATTAGCAAAGTTAAAATTGATAAACAGAACAGCTTGCGCATAAAACCCATGTTTTCCAGTTCACCTTACATTTCCTCTCTTTCCTCCCTTTCTACAACATTAACATATTTCGGAAAAAACTCGCAGCGTAAATAAGCGCAGTAGATTCTCACGTGTTGCATAAGAATTTGATGTTACGACAATAAGAAATCTCAGAGCAAAAGAGTTATCGAAATAGATCTATGATATCGCTTCAATAATTTATTTACTCATTTTTGCGCCTACGTTAGACAACATTAAAAGTTTTCAATGGACACGAAATTTGGGAATTGAATATGCGATTGCGAGAGGCTGGTGACGAGGCAGACGTAGAGTGATTTAAAAAAAAAACTTTGTAAGTAGACACAAAGTCGACACGGAGGTATTGAGGTTCCCCAATGGGTTTTCCGTTATGCTAATTTCTCCAAAATAATGCGCACTATACATATATCCATGACTAGTACATTTCAGTGTGAGTATTGTCAATGTTTTACATTCAAAAGATACGATAAATTCAATCTAAAATGTACTAGTCATGGAGGTATGTATAGTCTGCCTTATTTTGTAAAAATTAGTATAACGTCAAAACAGTGAATGTTGTAACGCAGATTTTTGACCGGTTCGTAGGATAGGTTTGTCTTGAAATTTCAAGGTGTTGCAGTCTGTGGACAATCATAATGAAAGTTTCAGACATTTTTATATACATTATGAAGATTATGCGAAGAGATGTTAAAAAAATTGGTTTGAGATCGTTTTGGAGATATCCAAGAAAACGCTAAAAGTCCAAATTCTGAATGAAGTTGCACTTATACAGGTGCTGAGAAAACGGGTTAGTTTTCAAGATCGCAAGAACGAAAGTACACCAGAATTTCCTGGCACCAAAATATGATATTAAGCAGCATTTTGACGCTACTTAAGAATAATTTGGGTCATTTATAACGTTTTTATTAAATAAGCTATCACGGCTACTGAAAACTTAAGGTTTGAAATATATTTTCGTTTTAGTCGAATTCAAACATACAGAATTTTTTACTTCTTCTACGGAGATTGTTTGCTAAACACCAAACTTTAAGTTCCTAGTGTTGGATTTTCAGTTGCAGGTCTAGATCACACAAAATTCGGCTTTTATCAATTTCAAAGTTTTTTGTTTATTGTTGTCATAGTGATATTGATTTTACTTAAAACTACTTTTTCACAAATTTCAATCCATAGCCAATTACTGGTGAAAATTTATATCGATCGGACAAGGAAAAAAACACTTTTAAGGCGATTGAAAAATATCGGTATGGCCTCTGAAAAACTGTATCGAAACACCTTATAAACATAGATTCAAATTGGGTAAAAAACGGTTTTCGTCAATTGCCAGAAATTAAACTGATCTCACAATAAACATTGTTAAATTTTGAAAAAGCAATATTTGGGAAAAGTACTTTCTTTGCTCCCTGATTAGTTTTTACCAACCTGAACGTATGACGTTTGTCTTGATTATAACAGAGTGGTTTTTGTTTGATAAACAGCTGCTATTTATGCTACTGTATTTTAAAGTACATTTCTCAGAACATTACAATTTTTATGTCTCTGTGATGTAACTGCGTGCAAATGAGCTGTTCTCTTTCTGTAGCTTATTCATAGCCTTCATTAGGTCTTCATTATCTGACAAGTAATTAGATAACTAGTGAGTATCCATTTTGTATTAAGATTGCACTGATTATTAACTTGCATGTTTAACATAAACAAACGAGTTTGTGGGCTCGATTTCCGCCGTCTCCCTGGTCCGGTCTTTGATCCTCCTCGAAGAGCTCTTTCGGGGGGAGGGGGGGGGGGGGGGGG